GAAAAGGCATAATAATTAGTTTGCATGCATCATTAAACAGATGTTACTGGCGTTCCCCGAGGGAGGCGGGGGGGCCGTCATGATGATATGATGATTTTGTACAATAGAACCGACTGTTTCATGCAATTTAGTATTCATTTTTTCTGACTAGAGAGCTGTCTTGGGCACGGCCGCAGCAACATGTCCCACAGGAACCTATTAACATCTTCTAAATATGCAAGAGTTTCAATAGGCCGTCCATCATCCTCACAGAGAGACTCACAGCTTTTTCTACAACTTTAACAGCTTGTCATAAAAATCACACCGGGTATTTCAATTACGCAGGTCATGAAAGAACGAAGGGACAGTATTTGGGTCAGTCACACACATTTAATTTGAACATATACACTTTGGTAAAGCTGGCTTAAAAGCCATGTCTAATCCACAGAAATATAAAACCACCTGAGCAAAGTGTAGCTAAGGATGTGGCACACAAAAAATATCAAAATAGATGTCTTTGGGGGATTAATCCCTGCTTAAAGAGCAGGTTTGTCTGTGGAATCCTCCCTTCAGAGGTTTGTTCAGGCCCAGCAGTGTAGACCAGAGGTTGCGTTAACCGAATATTTTCCGTCTATGACGGATTTTTTTTAACAACGACAGAAAAATCTGAAAGGAAAATGGAAATTATACCGTTTCCTAACCTAACATTGCCATACAAATCATTGAAATGTCTGTGAGTTTTGGCTTTACGCTGTGCGCGCTCCCGTGAGGTGCAGTGGGCATGCATAACATGGCGCTAACGGTTCACGAGCGTGCTCTTCCCCCCCTCGTCAGAGTTGTGTAAAGGCCGACGGGTAATATTGGATTTTGACGGAAATGTTACGATCCTCTCCATCAAAATTACGGACAGCGAAAAAGTCTAGCACAACCTCTGGTGTAGACACCAACCCATAATCCTCCTGCAGACACACCTGTAGAGGAGAGTATAAAGATAGACCCTCCAGAAAAACGCGGGAAAAAATCCTTGATTATGCGGGCTAAATTCCTTGATTATGCGGGCTAAAACCCTTGATTATGCGATTAAACATGCAGGGTTTTATGTGATTTTATGCGGTGAAATTGCGGGAAGTTAGGAAATATGCGGAAAGTTGAGAAATAGGCTGAATATGCGGGGGAAAAGAATAACAATTTTTTAAAATATTGGGCTGTCTTATTTATTCTCTCTCACACACAACCTGCCACTAACGTTAAACCCCTTTACTATTCAATTAAACAAATTCAATGTTTATTTATTGTAAAAGCAATTGGGCTATTTTAATCTCACACTCTCTCACACACACACACTTCTCCGCCTCATTCTGTTTTCATTTACTCGTTCGTTATCTGACCAGCTTCAATCTTGTAGGCTACTCACTTCGTTTCTTGTAGCCCTCGAAAGGGTTTTGGAGGTTGATGCCTCGGTGAACGTGCGTTGTTTGGCTTTGTTGTCCGCAGCAGCAGAAAGCATTTTCGAATGTTTGAATGAATCAAAGTGGGTCGCCACCGTCGATTTTCTCTCAGACGTATGCTCCAACACACAGTTGCACGGGGTGCAGAATAGTTTCCCCCCACTTTCGTGAAAGACATCGGGGTACTGCTTTGCCCGCTCTTTAGCAGAAATGTTCGTCGTGTGAGTTCCACACGTTTACTCTACGGTGTTGTTTACCTTCTGTGATGCGCGAGCTGATGACGTCACGTCATCATCATCACTACTTCACGTCAAGTTGAGTTAAC